TGAGAGAGAGAGAGAGAGAGAGAGAGAGAGAGAAAGAGAGAGAGAGAGAGAGAGAGAGAGAGAGAGAAATACAGAACGTAAAAGAATAGAAGGAAAAGACAGACCCACAGACATGCAGGCTGAGAAACAGTCAGACAGACAGACGTACAGACATACAGATAGACAGACAGACTTACTGACAGACTAAATGACTGACAGACAGGCATAGAAAGCGAAAAACAAACATGCATACATTTAAAAACAATTATAGTCGAATAAGGATTTGTTGGCTCAGTCCATGGTCATCACGAGTAGACCTGTGCGACAATCCAAGACAGACTGATACCACATGGTGTTGAAAGGAATATTTTTTTTTGCATGCTTGGAATTTGATCTCACCCAAGTGAAAAATTTTGTGTTTCATTGAACTAATGGAAGATGCAGTGGCGGAGCGGTTAGTGCTCTCGTCTCCGGAGATGAAAATCCAGGTTCGAGCCTCGGTTCGGAAACGGATTTAGTTTCCCCTCCTCCTGCCCACCCAGCAGTAAGGGGTACCTGACTTCGAGTTGGGGAAGTGAAGGCGGCGTGGAAAGGAACTGGCCACCCTACCACAATATGCCGAAGGCACAGGAAGTTGTCTCACTAGATAGGCAATCCCCAATGTCCGGATCAGACACGGGAACAGCATTACTTTTTATGGAAGGTGTTAAAATTCTCCACCAGGGGGATATAACGTTTTAATACTGGTATCGTAAACTATATTTTGAAATACTATTAGGAGAATGCTCACTTGTGCAATATTTTAAACGTATTATCGTTTTAAAAACTGAAAACCTAACAGTCCAATAGTAGAGAGCAGAGAGGTTTTGAAAAGAGGTTTTGAACAGGGAACGTCTAACATTTTAATATCAACTCTTCTTAAATATAAGCTTATAATTAAATTAAAACAAAACGGGACAAGGTTTTGAACATCACGCTTTCTTTTCTGTGTACGCCATGCTTTGTACTTATAGTTGGGTAAAAATGATGAATTTCACGTATTAAAAAAATGTTAACTTTAAGGAAAAAAAGGTTAAATAATTAATTTAAACTCATTATTTCGAATTTGCATCATATGATTCTGCTGGCTTCAACTTTTCATTTAAAAAGGTCACGTCTTAATTTGATTTTGTTTTTAATTTTTTAAAATATCGTGAACCCCCTCCCCCGCCCCCGAAATACAATCCTATAGTTGTGTTGCTATTCAATGACGCAGATAAAAAGACATAAGAGAGTGGTGAGGGTGTACAGTAGGAATGAACTCAAAACTATCAATCTATGATGAAAAGGACTAAGAATAATAACCACAAAAAAATAAAATAATCATAATCATAATAATAAAAAGAAGAAGAAGAAGAAAAAGAAGAAGAAGAAGAAGAAGAAGAAGAAGAAGAAGAAGAAGAAGAAGAAGAA